CACGGGCCCTCAAAGCAGCAGCCATTAATAGACTATTTGGCCAACAGTCTGAGACTATACGTCGCGAGATATTAGTCCGCGACTGATGCCGTGGTGACTGCGACGTTCACTGTTACTGCAGTCGATCTTTGCCATAAATAAATTATGATCACTTTTTTGACATATTCATAAAGTCAAAATAAACAGTCTTGTATTGGAGGGGCCAGCTAATCAGAAGGGCTTGTGATGGAGTGCGTTCGAACACGTCCCTCATCGCTGAATTATTTTTTATGTTCACAAGTTGGCGGGAAGAGCCGAGAGGAAAATGAATGCATTTCCTTGTCACGTTCACCTGGGACACAATGCCGTATAAATGCTTGCTTCATTCGCTGAGTTTCTTACAGCCATACTTCCCAAATCATTTCACATGATTTCACGCTGCCTTTGGGCAGGGAGATAGCCTAATTCTCTCCCTCGCCTGGAATCAGTTCTATATACATGTAATTTACCCGGGGCGTTCAACTTGCTCGGACTAATCTGTGTTCGAATCGCGCATTTTCCTGAGAGTCGGGCCCGACTCGATCTTGCTGAATACACGAAAACCAAGTGTACAACAGCGAAAGGGAACGGCAGAATCTAATTTATCTCCTGATATTAATCGTGTTATCTGTCTCCAGTATGAGACGATCGCTTGCAAGCGAGCTGGTCTTCCTTCCTAACAGAATTTTCTCCAGGATTCTGGAGCGGTATCAGGCACGTCGACATATGTGGACGGCCACGGTACTTTAGGAATCCAAGCTTTTTTTCAATTTTTGCCGAATGTCCTGATCCCCAGAAGATAGGAACGGAATCAGAATCAAAGGCACAGACTTCAGGGACCAACATTCTAACCCTCCCACGAGCTCGCGAGGGATGTCAAGATGAACGACTGTTCTAGGAGTCTATACGGAAGTCGCATATTAACAGTCGGCAAATTGTGCCGATGCATTTGGGATGCATGTTCAATCGTCGATGCGTGGCAAATGAGCCAGGGTTGGGAGCAGACACAAGCCGCCTGCAGACGCTCGCTGCCATAATTATACTCCGAGAGGGTGGGCTATAAAGCGTGACCAATGTTGAAACCATGAGCTTTTTAAAATCAAAACAGAAAGGCTACGGTGTCACTACGGAGACACATTCTCGAGACAGTGTTGATTTCTTTCAGAAAATGTCAAGAACATACCAAACTTAAATAAAACTTTTCATTAACCGTGTTGTACAATTAGAATGAATATAGAGAAACTGTGCTGATGCTTCGAAATGCTTTCAGTTTCACACCGCCTGAAGCTGCCGTCGAAAACATCATCCATTTTTGTTCCACATTTTCAGAATCCATCTAACTTATTCCAGCGACTATGCTCGGGCAGCCCCTCTCCCACGGGGTTCATCTCGAGATGAACACACTTCTCATTGCCACACAAGAATTACGATGGACTACCACACTAATCCTCCAAAGGACACGCGGCGCTTGGATCAACCTGTCAAGCTCCGTATATACATACGTGTGAGGGCTTCATGAATAAAACAAACTTGGCATTCACCGCTTCGCGGGATTTTCCTGTTTCAAAAGCTAAGTCCGCGAGATATCCCTTGGTCCCCTCCCCCTTGTCTGATGCACTTTCAGGAGGGCTATAGCCACGGCCATCGGTCAAGGAGCTGGATTTACGCTGAGAGACAGACCACTCTGCTTTGAAAGCAGCGGGATTTCATGTACTTTCAAGCAGCAAAAATAGGCGATGAAGTGTGGCCGACTTGAAATCGCGACGAGTGGGCCGGGCATTCCATGGTGCGAATGCGCACTGGTTTGCAAACGTATGGTGTGCACCATGCGCGACCTGTTTTCACCCGACTGCGCACAAAATCGCACCAGTGTCACATAAGCGTCTGAGCCCACGGCGATGTGAAAAAAGTCATAGCGTTTTGTTCATTTCAGCAGCTCGTGTAATTATTTAATAACGATAGTTTTTTCTATCCACAGCCGATTGTCTAAGCACAGCATATTGTAAAAGTAAACTATTTTCATCAGTGAACCCCACAATATTTATGACTGACAACACCCATTTTTGTGGTCCTCCTGCCCTCATGGACAGTGTTTGTCGCAGCCTTCCTCATCAGACTATAGGGAATGAGGAGGATCAGCCAACAATTTTAGGGATTCACCGTGTAATTGCTCGCTCGACGACAGACAACTCCCAGTTGCGGTAATGCAATACGCACCGCGCCGGATCACCCACAATTTACGTCTGGGAGCAGCATTATACGGAGTGTCGTGTTACGAACTGCCAGAGCAAAAACTCGACGTGAAACGTGGTCTATATGTAGACCTGTCAGGTAGGCAGTGTGTATGGCTGGTACTCGGGAGCATCTAACCTAAATAAGCAATGACATATCACGAGCGATTTAGTGATGCGTGGAATTCAAGGAGGCAGTCAAGATTACCAAGCGTCACCTGCCAATGATTGATGGTATACCCTGCAACGCAGCATCAATGACCTTTTACCAGGTATAACCTTCTGGCTGTTCCCGAACCGCATCAAAATCGTACATTCTGAAGGTGCTCACTGTAGGAGATATGCACGCAGCTAGGCTACAGGAAAAAAAGATTGGCCTAAAATATCTTTCGGAGATTGTGCTGTAGGCCAATACATCAACGAAGTGCATGCAATCAAGAAAATGAATCAATTGTCTTAACTTCCACGAGTATACAGTGTTTTGAAAAAAAAATGCGTCAGTGTAAGGGCAAAACCCGTTGTCAGAATTCTCTTAACTTCATGTTTGCTTATTTATCGTTGTTGTAGTTTTTCTTTTTTATTTCAAAGAAAAAATAAAACGCCAATGTCCAATGATAGCTAACCAAGAATCAATCAAACGTGCCAGCTGTCACCAATTTGCCGACGATTTATCGATATCAGTGAAGCGACAGCAAATTATCCAAAATAAGACCAATGAATAATTTTCTTAGTGGTAGTACTGTCTCGCAATCCCTTCGTTGAAGCATTCACGACATTACCGAGCTGATCTTGTCACTCCTTTCACGTCAAGACGCTGCTATGTGCTTCCGCCGCAATCCAAGGACAACTCCGACCCGGGCCCCGGCCCTTTCATCTTGCCTGTAATTCATGGCCAACGAGAGCTCATTATTCCACGCGCGCTTGCAGAAGACGAATTGTCCCGTGTAACGATCTTGCATTATGTACACCGCTCATGTGCCAAAGGTGCGAGTTAGGACAACGCTGGGGACGGTGAGCGATGATGACGCTGCGTTAAGTCGAGAGCGCTCTCGCAATTCTTCCCTGGGGTCTCTGCTTTGCCATACTCTATACGTTGGAGAGACGGCCTCGGGGGGAGTGTTACAAACATGGAGAGAGACACCACTTCAATCAAGTATCGGCATTTTACAGCGGCAATGGTGTGGGGAGGGCAATCTTTCGACGGTGCCCAGTATTTCTGATCCATAAGCTACTGCCTCTTAATAGTACGTCATTCACTTCATAAGTCATGTAACCAATCCTAGGTTCAGACGTCTAGCCGTGATTCAGTGTCTTACAACACAATGCATGTTCAAGGAACTTCTCGAGTGGTTTGGCTCTTTATCTTTTCAATATAACAATTTTAAAGAATCTTTGTAGGATTTGCTTTAAGCAATGCTTACGCAAGCGCCAATATTCGTCCCGCCATTTTCAAGGCTTTTACGGGAGATTGCAGCTGGGGACCTTTTTAGTTCTTATGTAAATGCAATACGCAACACACTGACGTCATCTTAGACGCTGAAGTGCTGCAGGTGATACGGGCGTTTGGCAACAGTGCACCCCTATGAGTTTGTAACGCGTTGGCCAATCACAATACTCGAAATCTGTCGACCCAATGCGCGTTTGGAGAGGGTCGACGAATTTCGCGCATTGTGATTGGCCAACACGTTGCAAAGTTTTGGAGGCGCACTATTGTGAACAGTCTGTATTCAGCATCCAGAGTTGCCACATGTCTGAAGTGGCATACACTAAGCATACAGTAAAATACACGTCGGGCAGGGCAAAAATCCAACATTAATTTACATCTCCTCGGCGCAAATCCATCTTTGAAGTAGCTGTTTGCGGTACCCGCTCCTACATCTGATTCGAACCAGCCAGCCAATAACGGCGAGCTCGGTGGTCGAGTGGTTAAGGCGTCTGCACTACTAAGCAGGAGGTCGTGGGTTCGAGTCCCACCCGGGTACGCTTGTGGGTTTTCACAAACCTTCGGGGGCATACACTGAGCAGACAGTGTTAAAATACACGTCGGGCAGGGCAAAGATCCCAAATTAATGTCTGGAGTTATGCGAAGTCAGTGTTAATGAGTTCGGTATTTCATTCATGACTGTACAACAGCGAGTTGTGTTCATAACCTCTGAGCTGTGACACGTTCGTTGTAGAGTGATAGTTACCTGTTTCATTATGGAAAGTTAGGGTCATAATCCCAATTTATTGTGAAGTTAGGGGAACATGTGTGTATTCACAATATGTCTCAAAATGGTAGAAAATCCGTTTCACAGAGCAATCAATGCTGAAAATAACCCTGCCCGACCAAAAGAAAATAAAACTCATTAGCGATACGGTGGGGAATGTTGGCGAGAGACCGAGGTGCAGGATCGTTTCCAATTAAGATGGCTGCATAATTGCCTTGCGAAGCTGAAGTCAGAACGCGTTATTAAAGGTTGATAAACCTTCCTTTTATATTTGGTATACTGGTTGGATGGAAAGAGTGAGAAAATACCGTAGAATAATTTGACACAGCTTGAAGGGGCCAATCACTCAGTTTGCCGGCAATCATGGAGATCTCCAATCCACGTATTAACCTATGTGACGACAGCAACGAAGCTAGGGGCGAGTTGGAAAAAAAAGGTTGGCTGAGTGAGTTTGTATCTACAGCAAACTCGGTCCACTTTCAGGTATGCTGCGGTATTAAATGTCTACTATACATGAATCAGATTCTTTCTCGGAACTTACCCATTTTACAGGATGGCACCTCCACGATCCCATCTTATAACCAGCAAGAGCTCGCGTGTCGCCGTTTCAGATGGCGGACAGTCCCTCATCGAAACCTGAGGTCACGTCGACCAGGAGCAATGCCCTCCAGATCCGGGGTTGCAAGCTCCGTGTCACCCGCTGCGGCGGCCAGGTCGGAGGAACAATTCGCCTCCCCCCTAAAAACAACAGGAGGGTCCCTCAGGCCGGCTAGTCGCCGAGGTCGCTTCCCCCGGTTCGCCTACACCTTTGTCCCCGTATATACTCTCCCCCTTCACTCCGATCGCTCGCCGATGGTGATACGTCCTGACGGCCTGCCGAGGATGTGATTAAACGGATCACTTACCGATCCTCGCCTGCTCACTTGCAAGCCTGTAATGAAGACAGCAACGCAGAGGAGTCAATTTCTCACTTATTACGTTTTTCTCTCAGTGCTCCGGCTTTGGCGGTAATTCACACTGACAACCTTTGCTTCAACGCCGCTCAATTCAGTTCTCTTTACCCTGTACAAATAGAAACAAAACCACTGCGAACAGTTGCGTTTGTTCAGCACGTTTCACGGGTATAAACGCAACCTTTATCCAGCAATAGTTTGCATAATTGTGACAATATTGTCATAAATCTTCACAAAAAACCACACAGGCGAAAACAACATTTGCAGTACGTCCACACGCGTCAGTATTACCTTTATGATACACCTTTCCACTTTACACGGAATGTCCTCACACATGTTCTTACTACCAAATATCCCCCGGAACCATGACTAGAAAAAGTGATCTCCCTGACAGAAATTGGAAATGGAGCTGAAGCTGAATTGTTCTCGGAAGAAAAATAGACAAACTGCCTCCTCAATTGCCTTCGCCACAAGTACTTCACTCTTTATTCATGTACTCCCTGCAGGGAGTGAACATACGCTTAATATACATGTATGGATTTCGCTGAATTACAAATACGCCTGCAGTCACGTGATATTCTTTCCACCACGTGATGTGCTTTTTGATAGGCACGTGTGCTTTGATTGGTTAAGGACTGAACGTAACGTAACCCCCCCCCCAGAACATTCTCCTTTTCGCTCTCATTTTCCCATTCTTAATTTCTAAAAAGAACATCGAAAACTTTCGGTTACTGTTGAGAAAAACAATCCATAAGGTCTGTGTATTAACAACAGAGGGCAATATTTAGTTAATTTCACGTAGACTGAAGGTATTTCCGCTAAATCTGTCGCATTTGGTAGCCCCAGTGCGAGGCTTGTTTGCACTCAATATCTGCGAAATTGAACTGCTTCGGACAGTGTCGATTACGGACAGCCACGAGTCAATAAAAATGCACTCAAACTTAATGCGGCTGGCCTTGGTTCAAGACGTGATGCGGCAAGTGAGACTACGACCGAACGGACGAGACGTATTTCTTTCCGGGGGGGGGGGACTTTGCGTTCGTAAGCGTCAATGTACGGAGAGTGTCCACCGTGTTTATAGAGCAACGAAAATCCCAGCATGGGTACATTAAACATGTCACAGGCCAAAATAGCGTATTCATGGAAAGGAGCTTCATATTATGGAACTCGTTCATCAAAATGCATTCTGCGCCTCTAAGCTCCAGCTACAAATTACAGTATTTGTCATAGGACAGGCATTACCGGTAAACTGAAGGGTAATCCCATGTACAATATCCACTTGAGGAGTTTTGGAAAATAAAGAAATTACAAGGTACCGACAACTGAGCTAGAACAACTGCACCTGCTATTCCGCGCTCGTCTGCGGTCATAGTGGGGAATCGGGTTGTTGTAGTGGCTCTTTCATCGCCTTCCAACTCTCCCCGACCCGGGTTCGAACCTCACCTAGGTCAACAAGCGGATTTGGGATTTCGATTCCTACCTTATTCTGTGGGTTATCTCCAAAACATTTATCTGTGGTTTTCCTCCGACCTCTAAAGCTGAACACTTCTTCCGATAATTTTCATCATCCCCTCGCCCATGCCATTAGTCCAAGGAATGTCGTTCTTTGTGTCTTCGGTCGTCCTGATCCATTCCCTTCACTAAAACATCCCCGGAATCTGACTCTCTCCCTTTCAAACTAGCTTTGAGAAAATGTATTTCCCGAGACCTAGAACGTGCACAATTCCTTATTTGCCTCGGGACTTTTGATTAATTGATTGCGTGAAGGTAATTGCCTCATTGGCGATGCGCGCCACGTCCAACCAACTCTTGACTGCGAAATGAACGGGGGAGGGGGAATGCGGCATGACTTAAGAGGAGACGAGACAAAGAAACGAAACAAATTGCTCTCTCAAACCCCAAAGTAAAGAGAAGACTTAGACGCTGGCATTCATGCTAGCACACGCATATCGCTGCCATTTCCTTCTAAATTAGGCCGTCGATATCGATCAAACGTGTGCAGAAAATGACAACACCCATTAAGGGGCAACTCGATAAGTGCACACGCTCGGGGTGTATCGTGAAATGGCAGGTTTCCAAGGGACGGTCCGCATACAACCTCTTGAGAGAGAAAACGGTTATGACGCATCGGTGTATCATCAATATCGACTCCACGAAAAGGGACTCGACTGCACACTGCGCATGTCAGAATGACGCAAGTCCACCATCTCGAAGCCACAAGAGCAGCTATTGCGATTGACACCGCATGATACATCTTAACAACAGAAAATGCGCGGGTATGTTTCTTGCTGGTCGCTAAGACCGTGCACGGCGGCAGTGTTAAAAATGACCTCCCCAAGGAATGTAACAAAAATGTCCCGCTCAACCATGCGACGAAGCACTTCAGTGCACGATTGCGCAAAATGGTGAGCCCTTAGTAAAACAAGCAGACACTTTCGTCGTCTTAGAGGCCACGATAGGAGACATGAGAGCTGACTGACGGTGAATATGCGAGTCAAAGCTACATAAACATCACGTGTCGACACATTACCGTACACAATTGACACCGTGCACGGTTGCCATACATCATCCCCCAGCTTAAAATTGCAGACTCAATGAAGTGTCTAGGTAAATCACGTGATGAATATAAGCAGAAGAGATTGGCCAAATAAAAGTGCCACGTCAATATAATGAAGATCGAATAATGTGGCAACTGCTCAACAAAGGCGATATGAATTTCAACTCCAGTTAGCAGGTTGAGAGAGAAATAACACGGCAATGTTTGCTCGCCTCTCACAGCCTATTCAAAAGAGAGGTGACGTCACATGGCGTCAACTACTTAGTGACATAAAAAGTACAATTTTGAGTCGAAAGTCTTAAGTATATTGTTTGTTTTCATTTAAGAGAACATGTGAGATCGCCAGTCTCTGGGGAAAATGAAAGCGACCCATCTTCACTGTTCTTGTTATACAAGCATTTCTTTATGGGGGGATTCTTTTCTGAGCTATGGCAAGACAAAATTGACAAGTGTGAGATTTTGCGACGGTGTGGCAGCTGACTTCCGTCGGCATTTAAATAGATTCAACTCTTGTATGCAATTTCATTTAACAGTACCAAAAAATACTATCTGCGAGGTATTTCAACCTCAAAGTACGCAGGCAAATCCAATATTGATGGGAGGAATTCGCCGCGCATTGCCCCCCAAAACATAACACAGAGTGCGCGGTCGAGGGACGCTACTGAGGCACGCTAGACGCCTCTGTACCCCAGGCGTTGTTGTGAATATTAGCCTCAGACTCTCCACAGGCGAGGGTCCCTTTGTGATGAGGAACCGCATCTTCAATGTTTTCAAGGTAGGTTCTCGCAACCTCACTTCACTTTGTAGCTCTTGTCTGCTGCAATGTAAATTTATGCCTATTCCCCACAAACATTATCAATGTAGGCTGTGATATTTCAAGCTAAGAAGTATAATGTAGGGCAGCCCTGAATAGACAGCGACAAATTTATGAATTTCCTCACACGAATAACAAAGTTCTGTTATGGCACTGCGCATCTCTACAGCACCTTCAATATCTCCACAATGCACTTCCACACGTTAATAACAGCACATCAGCACAGATATAATTTTGAGTGAAAGTGGTCGACAGGTGGCAAAAATGTAAAGTTTAAAGGTGCTACCCGATCGGACACGCGTTACATGGGGACGTTTCTGACCGCTTGTACACCACTGCCAGATTTAAACACTATGTACGGACCAATCGTGTACAACAACAACACTAAAGGACTGTTTCTCGGTCCGATGGGTAACCTAACTTATACGCCGATATTTCTCGAATACAGCCTGACGGGAGAGCCTTTGAGGGACCGCCTCTCAGTATATGTTAAAACGTCAGCTATCTGTGAATGACGCCCTCAGAAATGAATGGTCTTTAAGTTTCTATCTTCGAAAATGTATACACGTAGTTGGCCATCAAAGCGATTATTGACTGATACTTTCTTGGCATCAGGATATTACCAGCATCTTGTCTGAGCGAAAAGCTAAACGTTCCAAATCCCTGCAGCATCGCTTTTTTCGCTGTTGTTTTTTTTCCCGCAAGCCGTGTTCAATGAGCGTGACTGTGCAGTACATTGTATATTCCTACGACATTCTCCAAATGGCTTTCGGTTTGAAATTACACTCGAAATTGGAGAAAGGATTCCATCAAACAAGGAAAAAATCAAAATTCAAGCGAACTCGCACGCAGCAATTCCGCGGGGAGGGTACAACGTTAAGTTGGCCTTCGTGGCTTTAAACGTTACTCAGCGAGATGAGAAATGTAATTAATATGCAATACCCTGGATAACTTTCGACACTGCTCTCTGTGGTTTTCATAAAAAGTAAAAGTTGACACTATGCCATTGAAACCATGGATTAAATGATTAATCTGGAGTGAAACGCATTCAATCCAGAGTGGAACTACTGCAATCAAAAGGATTTGGCTCCGAAGTCCTGACATCTGGCATTTTGCTAATGACAGAATCTAGTCAAATCACTGGGATTTTCTCTTTTGGGAGATAATGGAAGGGCCCTGCAGAAAGCAATTCTGATCAACACTCGCCGCTGCCCAAAGCACTATACTTTCTAAAAATCTGAAATGATAAAATATGTGACATATTTCCTCCCCGCACATTTCACTAATGGAAGATCCTCTGCATTAACACTCCAAAATATATCATACCCTTGGGAACCTTTGGATATTGCTCAGCCGCCTCTTTGGACTCGATATATTCTACGTTAAATTACTCTGCAAATCCAGGGCACGCTTTTAAAGTCACTCCTGCGTCCAGCCAAAATTGAAGATTTGGGTGGCAGATGCTGCGGCTTTCTTTTTCTTCACTGTCTTCATAAAAGAGGAATTTTTCGTTCTGCATCAATTATGTGCAGAATCTTCCAAAAGGCTGAAGATTAAGTTCAGGTGCTTGCCCGCAAATATAGGCCTAAAATGTGGTTTAAAATTAA